GGAGGAAAGGGAAAGCAAGTCTTGATGCAGTGGCAGAGACTGGCCAGGTGATAAGAAATCAAAGGACTTAATCTAGCTAAGGCAGAGTCCTACCCCCAGCTCACACCAATCACATGGAGCAGCTGGGACTGATGAGGACACAGATGCACAAGGAGCAGGAGCAAACTGGTACAGCTACCGAAACAGCAGCATTTTAGGGTTCTCCTGCTGTTTACAAAGAAGTGTTTATGTGGAGGAGAGCGGGGTTGCTGCGGTGGCAGAAATCTCCAGCCTCACACAAGGCAGAAAGCTGAGAGACAGGAGTGGCACAGACGGCCCAGCCTCCTTGATGCAGAGGCAGGAAAACCAGCAGTTATCTCAGCGGACACAGGAAGGTAAGACAGATGGAGCCTTCCATGTCTCATCTCCGTCTGTATAGAAATTAGAGCATTACAGCATGTACAGACGGACAGCTAAACGGGAAAAAACTGGTTGGATGGTTGGCTCAGAGTGGTTGTTAATGGGTCATTTGCTACTCGATGGCCAGTGACAGGTGGAGCACCACAGAGGTCAAGTTTGCAGGTAACACCAAACTGGGGGGAATGGTCAATACCCCCAAGAGCAGGGCTGCCATCCAGAGGGACCGGGACAGGCTGGAGGAACAGGCCAGCAGGACACCCATGAAACTGAAAAAGGACAAATGCAAAGCGCTGTGTCTGGGAAAGCAGCAGCTTTGGAAATGACACAGACTGGAGAGAAGTTCAGCAGAAAAGGCCCTAGAGGTTCTGATAGATAGGAAACTGGATTAGAATCCCAGTGTGACACAGAAAGGCTGTTTCACATGGACTGTCTATAATACCAGGTGTGGATCATCATTCTGATGAAGTTCAGACTGCAAAAGTAAATTATTTCATTTCCAAGTCAAATCATATGATTTGCATGCTCAGAGAGGGACACTCTGTGTCACTCACACAATTTGAAAGGTCTTCTCCTTTGCAATCACTCTGTCAACCTGACATTAAGGGAAAAGAGAAACCCAAAATACTGCAGTTGAACAGCAGCTAGCACTTAATACTTTCATAAAAATTGCAAGAAAATGTAGTCAAGCTGCCCTGGAGGACTTTGAGCTATCAACAGTCCCATGCAAGGGGAAAACTGAAGTAGTGAGGATGGGTAACCTTATTATAATATAAAGAAAGCACCTTCTGAAGAACAAGACCTACACACAAGTCTTCACCCTCCTAAGACACAAAACATCGCCTAATGTTGCCATCCTGAACTTAAACTTATGAATACAGGATTTCAGCTCCCTGGAATCCAGCACAAATCACTAGTGGAAAGGAGGACAGCACTGACTCAGCCTCTGTTCACAGTGTTTGCACAACCGCCTATCCGTGTGCCCGTCCACACATTCCAGTCCTCCACTGGGTACCTTCCTGTTGTTTAAATAGGACGGTGGGATCACCACATCAACAGCAGCAACTGCTGGCTTCCCCAGCCCTGGCCTGAGTGCCTGTCCTTCCCACCGCAGGCTCCTGGCCCATGGCATGCTCCAGCAGCCAACACCAGTCAGCGAGCCCCTGGAGGCACATGGGAGGCTTGAGACACAACTAGCACTTTAGCTAGTGATCTGATCAAGGATATTGCTAAAGCAGCTGGAAGGAGAAAAAAAAAAAAAAACAACTCACAAACCCCCAACCTTCTTTTCATCCAGTTAATTTTGAGTATGCAATATTCTACCTGAAAAATGATGTCTCCATCCTGGGAGAAGAACATATTTGGATGAGGCTGGGGACCTTTGGGAAGGACTGCATCTGCACAGGGAACTCTTAGACAATTTATGGATGAAATGCCAGCTAAGAGCAACTGAAGACAGGTATAGGTACAAAGCCGGCTCAGGAAAACAGAGATATAGATTTCCTGAAGCTGGGAAGATACTCTGGGAAAACTCATCCTAAACCCACTCTGCTACCAGCTGCAAAGAGATGAGGCCTCTGCCTCAGCACACAGGCCATCTGCACATCGTGAGTGGGGGTCAGGCCCTCCGCAGCAGGAGGAACTCAAGCAGCCAGAGGTGGCATGCCACCCCAGGCAATGACCATGCTGATTTGCCTCAGGGAAGATAACCAAGAAGATTACAACTTCTAAACCATCTAAATTACTCACTGCTATCTTGAGTCATCTCAGGCCACTGACACCAAGCTATCTGATTAACAGCAGCAATCAAATTAACAGGGGGTATGTGCCGTAAACTGACTAAACAGCCATGCAAGCAGCAGAGGAATTTATGGGAGCTCCCAGCAGCCACAGAACTGCTGGGGTAGCGCATGCTCCCTCGTACAGGCTCAGCCCTCCTCTGCTGTGCTGAAACTCCATCGTAGAAAGGCAGCATCCTGTTACCACGGCCACACAAAGACACATGAGAAAGGACCAGACTTTGCAGCAGGCAGTGACTTAACGGCATGCTGAAGTCTCGAGCAAGCAATCCAAGCAGGGAGTCAGAGAGCTTCTCTTTGAAAGCTGGGAACTGAAGGGAGCACATCATACTAATATCAAATTCTGGTTTAGATTTGCTAGTAAACAAACTGATTGGATTACCAACCACAGTTTTCAGTCTCTGGAACAGAAACTTCCAATTAGTCGCACTACTTCAAAAAGGAAAAGACAAACACTATTTTTCCCTCACTAAGACCCACTAGGACTCTGCAGGACAGAAGCACAATCAGAGCAGGAGCCATTTGTCTCCCTCCACCACCTCCTACACCACTCCATGTCCTGCAAATGCCCAAAGCAAAGAGACTGTCCACCTCTTGATTCCAGAAGTTCAGCTCATCTCAAAAAAAAAGAGGCAGCAGTTCCCTACAAGAAGCCTTTCCCTGGAAATAAATATTTTTATATTAAGTTGAAGAGCACTCAGATGGGACTATCTTCAATCCCCAGAGCAAAGCATCCCCTAAGAGCAGCAGTCTCTGAGCAAAGCAGACCTTGCCACATGGAGCCCTTTCACAATGAGCTGCGAGATCGCACAGAGCAGACAGAGGAAGGGCTGAGCTAAGGTGGATTCACAGGGAGCTCAGGCATCCTTCAGCATTTTCTGTTGTTAGCGAGGTCACACCAGTCACTTGAAGCAAAGCTGCAGTGGCACTCGTGCTCAGGTGCGTGAGCACCCCACGGGAGCCCATCACCCCACGCTCCCTGGGCCATCGTGGAGGGAGAACCAGCCTCCCCTCTCTGCAGACAGGCACCTGCACTTCATCACACAAATGACACTCCCAGCTACAAACACACAACCATCACTTAATAGGCAAATTAATTGCATGGCGTATATCTCAAGTACTTGCACGTGACAAAATATCAGCCCACCTGTAAGGATGCTCAGTTTGACCTTCAAGGCCCTTTTTCATCTCAGCATCCAAGCCAACATGTAACACAGCTTATAAGCAACATGATCTCAGTCTTAATAAAGAAATTACTTTTAAACAAGACTATAAGTTATGTATTCATTTCCTGAAACTACACAAGCGTTTTTAGTTTCTCACACCGTACACACAAGTGATTCATAACTGATTATCTCCACATGGCTGCCTGATTCCTATATACAATCATGGTTAAGTACACATGAGACTTCTACGTACTCTTTTTAGGACAGTACGCATAATTTGCTTTAAAATATACTTTAAATGAAATATCCTCGTGCATAACAGAGCATCACTGCAGCAGCTTGCAGCAGTGAGTTTGGGGAGAACCACAGCCAGTTCACCACAGCTGCCAGCGAGCAGTCACGTCAGGGCAGAGAGCATTTTGGCTCCCCGGTGTACTCACAGCACATGCACTGCACAGGGATTTGGTGCCTTTTCAGTGAAGTTAGTCCCTCGAGACACATGAGGCTCACTAGATATACCCACGTCTGCATGGGAGGCAGCGCTGGCGTAGCAGGACCCAGGCTGTGGATTTCCAGCACGGGCAGAGCATATGCCCAGCAATTCCCTGCCCGCCTTGCCCAGGAGGTGCTGCCACTCCAACAGCAGCTGCATACATCTCACAAGAGCCACTGCACCTGTAATAAGGCTCCTTTCTCACAGAGGCCACGCATGATGTTTGCAGGGACTGTACGACATCATCACGGTCACACTTGAGACTCCGTGGCCTAAAGCTGCTATAAACAACATTGAAGGAGAAGCGAGAAAAAGCATTTTCTAAAGAGCTAATAACACAAGCTCATCTGCAGCCACTCGAGCTGGTATATGAGTAAGTCCTTGACAGACACTCTCTGCTCTCAAGGGACACCTGAAGATTAGTATTAGCTGGACATTGAGTCACAGCATTTCTGAAAGGTCCTCAGGCAAATGACTGTGCTTCAATAACAGCACAGACAGAACGGCTATTCCAAGTTCAAAAACTTTGAAAAAGGAGGGCAAAGCAGACCCTGGATGAGAAGAGACTTTCTGCATCACAAACTACAGCCTGAAGGCAGTCACTTCCCATGATCTGCAAATTTGTGGAAGGAGTCACACTGCAAAATGACCAAGTTTCCCATTTCCACCAATGTTACCCAGCATATTTACTAGAAAGCTATTCCAGAGTTTCATTCCTCTTGTGGCTAGAGGTCTTCTAACTTCCAGTTTTTATTAACAGCAAGTTTAGGTGGCAACACATTCATTTCTGTGTCAACACTGTCCTTTACCTTTAGGGATTCTGCTCCCTCTCTAATATTTACTGCAACATTTCTATAGACAGCGATAGCTTCTCCTTTCCACCTCCATTACACAACCAGACGAGCCAAGCTCCTTCAGTCTCCCACCATAAGATACCACCTTCACAGCCCTTTCCACGTGCACCATGCATTCTCCTTCCTCCCTCCTGCTCCAGCAATTAAGCCAGTGTCCAAACAGACAAATCCAATGTTTTGTTCCATTAAGCTTTACCCCACGTGTGCCCAAGACGTGTTGCCGAGGCTGCCCCCTCGCTGGGAGCCACGAGGAGCTCCGCGGGAGGGACGGGCCCGGAGCGTACTGCCTCACCTGGAATGCTGTCTGGCTGTTGTAGTTGCGAATCTCTTTGCTCGCACCGCGGAAGAGGAGAACCCGAGCGCAGCTCTCCTGTGAAAGCAAGCAAGGGGGAAAGGGGAAGAGGCCAATTAGCACTGCAGACTGGTGACGATGAAGCAGCAAAGCACATGGTTTCATTGCACTCAGAAAGCCTCCTCAGGCAAGAGCAAGGTAGGATGCTCCAGCCCCAGGAACTGGTCACCCCCACCCCGAGCTGACCAACTCCACCCACCTGCGTGCAGCCCTGGGGTGGCACCAAACATCAGCCCAAGGGCACAGCCACAGTGGCCACCACATTCCCAGGTACTGCTATTTCCTAAGGCCTTTTACTGGTTTGTTTGGTTTTTTTTTTGTTTTGTTTTTTAATGCTCTGGGCTGCTACACCTTAATTCAACATGTTTATGAGCCCCTGTACTCTTTAATGCTGCTCTATCCCCTACCCCAGTGGACAGGCACCAGGATACAGAGTCCTTGATGTGCAGAACATACCCACCGCCTAACAAGCCACAAATCAACCTCCACGTACCACTGTCTATATCAAAACATAATAGTGTTTAATTTTTAAAGCATGGACACCTCGGAAACCGAAAATTCCCTTTATAAACAAAAACCACTTAATACAATTGATAAAAATCTCTAGGAAGGAACAAAACCTACAAGAGAAATCCTAAAATACTGACCTCCACATCTCAGAAAGAGACCAGTGGGTGTATCCATTCATAGAGGGCTCTTCCACCACCCTCAACCTCTCCTGAACTGAGGTTAGTGACCACACAGAAGATAAAACAGAAATAGTGCCCTACGTTGCCTGAACAATCTTCTTCAACATTCAGAGATTAGTAGTAAGAATTTAGGGTAATTTGGGAGACGGTCAGGACCCCAGTCCAGACACCTTCCCCAGAGAAGGGTGAAACTCACAGCAGGTGCCCAGCAAGCCCTGATTGGGTCACAAGTCCACCTCAAATTAAATGTGAGCACCTGGAACAAATTAGCACTCCCCACGCAGGCAAACTGCTCCCTCCCAACCAGCAATGCCGGCTTGCGGTGAAGTAGGAATACGAACCAGAGGAAAAATTACAGAACATGTTAGGCAGTAAATCAGCAAAAACATCTTGAGAATGGGAACAGATTAAACATGGACTCTTCTCTGGCCACCTGCCTCTTGAGAAATCCAAAATCAAGCTGGTGCTACAACCAGAAAAAGCCTCATCCCAGGACAGAGGGTGGATACAACTCATAAGAACCTTTCTGGGTCTGGGAACAGTAATAGCAATGAGAAGGTGCTCCAGCCCAATGTTGTGCTCTATCTCAGGCAGGCTGGTGCCCCACCTACACTTTCTTGTTCTCATGCTCCAAATGACACAGATGTACCTGGTTATAGAGAGCACAAATATGAAGAGCGGTGTTTCCTGAGGCATTCTGTGCAGTCATATCAGCTCCATAGAAGAGAAGATGCTCCAGGTGCTGAACATGGCCATAGCGACATGCCTGCTCAAAATGCAAAACAGAAAAAAGAAAAAGAAAATCAGGGAGTAGCAGGAAGATGCTAATTCCCGTAACATCCTCTGCTGCATTGATCCATGCTAGAAAAGTTTAATCAAGCTGGACCTGTAACCTTGAAAGTTCCATTAACATGCACACAGACACACTGCTGCTCCTTACAGCAATATACATCTAAATAATTATTGGACAAATTACCTCTAAATCAATTGCAAATTTTGGATCAGCATCATACTGGTACCAAGGACTCCTCCAGACTGTTTGCTATCTCAGTGTAATTATCTGTTGAAAAGAAGCCCTGAAGCACAAGCAGGCAAAGAGGAGGGCAACAGCCCCACACCTCTAGTTAACTGGTATGGTATTTTTCTCTATGTTTGGTCCATCCAGGGACCAGCAGCCCTCAAAGATCTGCCAAGGTAAGGTAGGATGGAGGCAGGAAGGAGGACAGTCATATCTGGTAAATCGAGGTCACAAACACACATCTCTAGTTTTTGAATTCTCATCCTTAGCTGTGCCAGTATTCATCCACCTTGCAGGGGGCTGACAGCCGGGTGCTTCAGGAGGCCATGGACCCAAAGACAACCTGACCTCCTGACAGTCCAAGACAAGGGGACTTCAGGCAGAACCAGCGCATCTTCCCTTCTCCCAAAGGGTCTCGGTCTTGAAGCACAAAGCCAGCTCACGTCTCCTAACCCCTAGCCCATGTCTTCCCTACGCCAAATCCACTTGTCCCTGTGTAAAACAGGGACAGACACAACTGTGGTTTGGAACCAAGATGCCTCAGGCCTGGACCAAGATCCCAAAGCACTATCCTATGAGTCAGTCATAATCTGGGAAGGATCCCAGCCACTACTGACTGAGGCCAGAAGAAAAGAGCCTGAGCACTGGCCTGGGACGGGAGCCAGAGCTGGCACACCACGTTCAAGTCTTCCACACAGGAGCCTGGCCCCCCGTGCTGGCCACCCCTGCCGAGCAGTGCCTCCGCTGCCCGTGGCTCACAGGGGCTGGGGTGACCCCTCCAGCAGCAGCAGGACAGCAGTGGCCCCGGCCAGATCCGTCCATCCCACCTGATGGATCTCCTGCCAGCCATTCTCATCCACGCAGCCGAGCCGGGCGTAGTCGTGCAGCAGGAGCTCGCAGCAGTAGGGATCCCCCCCCACCATGGCACTGTGGTACAGGGGTGTCAGCCCCCGGCTGTCCTTGTAGTCCGGGGAGGCACCCAGGTCCAGCAGCGTCTGCAAGAGAAGTGCCTGTCTTGCTCTGCAGCTTCAGGCGGCTGCACAGTACAAAAACCTGCCCCACAGAGGGGCTGGGGATGCTCTGGCCACGGCAGCAGTGCTCACCCCATCTTCCCCCCACAGCTCGCACTATCAGTGCCACGGTTTTGTAACTGGCTCTGCTCCCCAACAGCAACGAGAGAGAGGCTTTGGGTCAGGGAGGGCACAGCCCTGCCGACAGCCTGGACGGGGTGGGAGGAGGAGCCGGTGCTGGGGCGCAGGGCAGAGGGGGAGGGAGGCCCCCCCGAAACTCACCAGCAGCGCCGCGTGGTTGCGGCACCGGACAGCCTTGTGAAGAGCCGTCATTCCCTCCCGCGTCCGGAAATCCAGGTGCGCTCCCCCGTTGCGCAGCGCCTTGATCATCTCGGCGCTGAGCTCCAGCTGAGCGGCCGCGGTCAGGGGACACTCTGCAGAGCCCCAGGAGAGAGAGGGGTGAGAACCACGGGGGCACCCACCCCGCCTCGACGGGCACCCCGGCACCACCGGCCTCTCGCTCAGCCACACCTCCTACCCAGGCCCCGGCAGCACAGGGTGCTCCCCACTCCCCTGGAGGCTGCGGCACCAAACCCCACATCCATTCCCAGCCCCGCTCAGACACCAGCAGCCTTCCCACACACTGCACGCACAGCCTGAGCGGGCTGGGGGGTGTCCATCGGTCCCGTTTGGTGCAGATGGAAGCCCTGCTGAGGGGAGCGGGGAGGAGAGCACTGGCAACAAGTGGCAGAAATGCCATTGCTGGCTCCAGCACTGCAGGACAGCACCCATCCGGACACACCATTTATACAAAGGGCAGAAGAAAGGGGTGAAAATCGGAATCCTCATTCAGTTGGTCCCTGCAGCAAGCCATGGCGAGGCGGCTGCCGTTGCGAGGGGAGATGCACAGCCACCAGCACCCACAGAGATGCCTCGAGCTCCCTGACATACGGCTGTCCCACAGCCGGTCCTCACCATCCCACTTCACCAGCAGCAAGTTCCGAAAGTGAAATGCTCACCCCAAACAGGAGGAAGGCCCCTGTATCTGTGTGACCCCCCTCACCTCTGAGGAGCCTGGCTTCTCACACAGCAGAGCCTGCACAAACTTGCCACCTGGGTCAGTCCCAGCTCGGACCAGGAACCGTCCCGGCTCCCAAGACTGCCCAGCGTAGGACTTGCTCAATTTAGGGATGTAATTGGAGCAGGTGTCCTGGTTTTGGCTGGGACAGAGTTAATTTTCTTCTTAGTAGCTGGTACAGTGCTGTAGTTTGGATTTAGTGTGAGAATAATGTTGATAACACACCGATGTTTCAGCTGTTGCTAAGTCGTGCTTATCCTAAGTCAAGGACTTTTCAGTTTCCCATGCTCTGCAAACGAGGAGGTGCACAAAAAGCTGGGATGGAGCGTAGCCAGAACCAGCCAAAGGGCTATTTCATCTTCCTTTTCATTACTTTTTTTTTTTTTTTTCCCCCAATTATTAAACTGTTCTTATCTCAACATACAAGTTTTACTTCTTTCTTTTTCCAATTCTCTTCCCCATCTGACCGGACGGGGGGAGGAATGAGCGAGAGGCTGCATGGTGCTTAGTTGCCAGATGGGCTTAAGGCACGACAGCAGTGAACAGAACTATGGAAATGCCCTTCAACAGTCCTCCCTCACCACGTAGCACCCCTATCCACGGGCTGGCTTGATAGCAGAAAGAAGGAAGAAAAATGTCCCTTGATATAAAATGAGTAAAGTCTTCTTAAGAGACAGAATGTTTTTCTGAACACCTTGATTACAATTAAATAAATTTGTTTTCTTCAGAGTGCAATATTACAAAAAAAAAAAAAAAAAAAAAAAGAAAATGCGCCTTCTTTCTCAAACAAATCCCTAGGTGTTTCCATCCAAATCCCCTGTACCACAAATGGAGCAATGTGGACACTGCATAAAATCAGATGCCATCAGCTAGAAACACAATTGTGTATTTTTTAGAAAGATATCTAATTTGCACATAAATTAAAATCTCTCGATTTAGAAGAAATAACTATTTAAATGACAATAATAAAATGGCTTGAGATACAAATAAAAAAGAATACATATATTAATTTTAGAGCATTGCCATTAGCAAAATTTTTTAATGAGATAGGTAGAGGTCAGACAAGGTGCTGTGGCTTTGCTAAAATTCTCTGGGTTTTCTGCTACAAAACACCGGTATAAAAAATAAAGATTACTGAAGACTGTTGTCAGGAGGATTAAAGATGAGTTCACCAATAAGAGGAACCACCAGTAATTGAGAATGTTACAGCTGGGTCTTCTAAGGACCTGTCCTCAGCTCAAAATTGTCAATCATTTTTAACAACAATCTGGAAAAAAATAGAAAACAAACTCTAGGAAATTTCACACATGCACACACTATGTTGTTATACATAGCCAAGTCAATAGTACAATGCATACAAGGGCTTCATGCATTCGCTGGCTAACGTCAAACTTTAGCAGAGGGCAGGTGCAATGCTTTATAGCTAGAAAATATGGGACGCATTTTAAGCATTAAGGTAATTACCACTGTAACAACGCATGTATTACGTGGGAAGGTAATGGTATTCACACGACTAGCAATGTCACCTGAGAAAAGGCAGTGGAACTATGTCCTTAGCTCCGCAGTGGCTGTGAAGACAAGGGTTCAGTGGAGCGTCCCTTCGCAGGCCGGGCAGAGCGGTGCCAGACGCGGCACACGGACACGGACAACACCACCGCTTGTCACGACTAACGGGCGGCTGTGCTGCCGACACGGTGGGGCCCGCAGGGATTGTCCTGGCCGCGTCTGCGCTCCAGGAGAGCTGGGCAGCCACGGTGGAAGCACAGCCTGCTCGTCCACGGAAGCAGGATGGGGCTGGGAAGTCGCGGTGCACGCACCACCAGCACCACGGACGATGAAGAGCAGTGACTGTGGGCGAGCTCCCCGGGCACGAGAGCCTTTCTCCTCCTCTCCACCACCACCACAACTGCCTGTTGGGCAGCTCCTGGCTCTCGTAGCCTAGCTCTTTTGCTAGGCCACCCCCACCTGAAGGCAAAGGGAAGCTAAAGAGCAGAGACTAGTGAAGCTGCGGTCTTTCAAAGACCATCACTTATCTTCCATGCCAAATACCATAGCTCTAATTTCTGTTGTTATCACTGAATTTCAGTTACTGCTTTTTCACTTTAATTTCTATAAAATCTCTTCCTTATTTATGATTCTTTTTAATTATTTTGAGAACATATATTTGGCCCTTGCAGTATGGTAAGAACTCAGACCGCCACAAACTTCAGGTTGTGTGTATGAACTGAAATATCCTCATCAGTCCCTGCTCCAGGCATCTACGTCCATTTCTACATGCAGTTAAATCACCCATCTTTTTTCAATATCTCAGTGTAAATGATACAAACTTTTCAAAGAGGCAAAAGGCACAGAAAACAAGGCTTCAAATCTTCCTTTAGTCTCAGTTATTAATATGCCAAATTCAATTGAAAAATCTATCACGTTATCTTGAATCCCGAAGACTGAGAAAGGTCCAAATTGGGCCTTTCAAGATGCACTGAATGAACTGCAGCTAGCAATTTGTTCACTAAATCTAATCTAATCACTATCTAATCTAGGATTTTAGTGATTACACTCTGTTAATTCTTGAAAATGTGCGTATCCAAATATATGCTTAAAGTAATTAACTAATAAGTGCACAAGATCCATTGTAGCAAACAAGACCCGGCAAGACAACCCGCTGCACGCTGCACAGCGCAAGAAGCTGATGAATGGACGTAAGAAGAAGCTGCAGGTTGGGCTCTGCCTGGGGGCTGTGGGGCAGCTGGGCTGGGCAGGGTGGGTTTGAGCCCAGTGCTCCCTCAGATGCTCACTGAACGGCTCCGATGGGAAGAGCTTCCATGGCAAAGCCGGCACCCACCCGTGCACAGCGGCTGCTCCCCCACGCCTGATCCCTGATGGGGGTGGAATCACATTCTGCAGCCAAAATCTGCAACAGAAAACCGGGGCCAGCAGACAAGAGCTGACAACCAGTGCTCAGAGGAACAGAAGCCTGGGGAAGAAGCAGGTGACACAGTCCAGGTCTAAAAAGCTGCAAGTGGGACTGTTCTTGCAGTCGGTGGGTTGTAGAGAAGCAGCGGTGGGGGTGGGAACCGCTTCTCGGAGGATTTCCTTGTGCAAAGGGCCCCCCTGTGACCCAGCAGCCCGACTGGCGAGAGGGGCGCGGGACCAGGGCACCGTGCCGAGAGCACAAACCACGTCCACATTGGGAAAGTTTGTAGACACTTATTTCTATTCCACTTAAAGGAGTGGTTTCTCTATGTTTTTGTCTTGTAACTATGTTTTCTCTTTGTTCTGTTAAAAGAAGCTTAGGATGAAAAGCATTGCTAATGTTTTAATTGCAGAGAAGGCGTTCTGGCAATCCTCAGGCTGGCCACTTCTGTGACAGTGATGAATCCAAACAAGGCTGTGCTGTGGAACAAAACATCTGAGCTCCCATACCCAAAACCGGGCCGAGATGCCCCATTCCTGCCACCACGGCCGTCTTGGCTCCAGATCATGTGTTATCCACACACCCCCCAGAAGCCGGCAGCAAAGAGACAACTCGAGAGGACAGTCGCCGTGTCACACACGATGCGGATGCTTCTCTACAGCCTTGCAGAAGAAACAAACTGTGGAGGCTCCCCACAGTCGGGGGGTGTAACGAGAACTGGAATTCACATGGCAAGGCAAAGGCAGCGAGGGAAGGTGAGAAACCCCAGAGTGCTCCGACACGAGTAGGAACAACCTCTCCACTCTGATACCAGAAAAAAAAATAAACAAACAAACAAAAAAACCCAAACCCACACTTCAAAAAAAAATTATCCGTGTTACTCCAGGACTTAATTTATCATTTAGGACAAGGGAGGATATCTGTTCAAGTTGAGATGACAACAGGCTTGATATGAAAGTTTTCGTGCAAGCTACTGGAGAGTAGGGTTACACAGTGTTCCTGTGCAGACCTACAGCACACAGTAACAGAAGACATCTGCTTGCGACAAATGAATGCCACATATAAGTAGAACCTTTTGGTAGTGACTCTCAGCTGTAGTTGAAAACATTACCAAATGACATTTCATCTCCAATTTCAGTTGAATGCAAACATATAATTTTTCATTAATCTCCAGCTGTACATTCCATTAAAAGAGATGTCACCACTTTGCTTAAAATAAAGGTTTAAAACAACTAGATTAACAGATTTTAAACTGAGGATGGTAACTGCAAACCACAAACCACTGGAGATTCATCCAGTGTTTCTGCCATCTAACCACAACTGCTGGCTGAACCACCACTTTCAGCTGTAACTTTCAGCTACTAAAATTGAAAGCAACAGAAAATATATCATATAAGAATGTGAGTTATTCAGTTTAATCAAGTAATTGCTTGCGTGTGTGTACC